TCTCTACTAGTGTTTGAACAGGTACCAAAAATCCTACCTGGATGGGTAATTCAGGCATGTATTCAGGTACCCGAAAATTTCTGACCACTATCAACATAACAGTTTCTAGCATGCAGAAGATAAGATAATATGAACCATGAAGCCTCACAGTTTGAATTAGTTTGTGTGCAATGTGTCTTTATTTTTCTAGCAAAAGCATATCTAAAACTGCCAATAATAAAAAGTTATGAATGTTTGGATGGAAAAGTAAAAGAAAACAGTAAATGATGTAATTATAAGTGAAAGTTGAAAACGATGTTAACCCAAAACCTTTTGCGGCCACTGTGTATACTATAGCATAGGCCCACAAAGTATATGCTACTGTATGTATTCTCACTATTCTGCATGAGTTAATGAAACAAATTCAAACAAATATCTCTCCATTTATTAACTTTTCACCAATTAATAATTAGTATTGATATAGTGGTCATGAAATTAATATCAAAGTATAAATCTTCCAACTGTATCTGGTAATGTAACAAAATAATCTTTAATGGTTCACCCTGGCTGACTTTCATTACACAATACCCTCACTGAGCAGGCAACATTTGTACATGATGATGACACTTGTGTTGTACGTATGTATGTTTACGTGTGGACATTACAGCATCTATGGCCTCCTGTCATTATAGCATGCATTGAGAGATTACAGGACTGCCGAGTGCACCTGCGCTATGAGAAAAGTTAGCATAATCTATGGGCGGAGCTCACCTCAAATATTTCAATGACAAAACTTTGATAATTCCCCATTAAGATTAGTGTGTGAGTTTCTCACTTAAATTGCAGTGAAGTGAAACAATGACTACTGCAATGATCGTTTCATCTTAATACCTCGAATTATGATGAGCAGCAGTTAAAATAGTTATATAAAAACGTAGAAACTTTTGAACGATCATATTTATATTGATACAATAATTTACAGTATTTACTATTACAAATTACACAGTCATCAGTTTGAAAGTTTCCTGTGAGTAATAGGGCTCATTATCTGTCCTAGAATGTTGATCATACCGAGCTGCAAAATGGTGGTAAACACAAACTGACTGCATGTAGTGAATCAGCTGATATTCATTTAATAAAGAAAAATTTGAAATGAAATATTCAAAATTTACTGCTTACTTAATTGATTCTTTGTCTCCTATATTTATTATTGCCAATGGAAAAGGTAAGAGTTAGTATAATGAACGGTTGAATTAAGGTACTCGAGGATTTTTGTACACTGTTAAATTTAAAAATCAGTGACTTGCTAATCAATGTTGCTGGCCCAACACTATAATTTAATCAGAA